TTTGGTGTTGCTGGTGACTCTGTGACAGTACCCAAATACTTTGTCTTAAATTTGAACAGTTAATCTACTGTTTTATCATGTAGAGCAGGGATTGGCAACTTTGATAGTGATGAGGACCATCATTTTTTCTCCTTTATACCAAGGGGCCAGATTACTAATCCACGTCCACACGCCTTTGTTTTGTTATACTTTATTTGGATAAAACTTGTGCAGTTATGCTAATTCAGAAGGAAAACTGTTGTCAGTGGACAGAAATATTACCCTGACTAGCCAATGTAAACATTTAACAAACATATGGGTATCCCCTTGAACTTGGTAAAAAGATCATCTGTTTACCATCTTGACTTGAAAATACTGTTTTCATGGTCAGTTTTTCATTTATTATTTGCTAATGTTAGTGAATGTTTACATTAGAGTGCACGTCCTACTACGCTGAAATTAATAGGGGAGCGGCTGGAAACTAGCGACCTCTCCTGGTTGGAGATAGTATTAACATCATAAACTGAAAGCAATCTTTACGTGACTTGCTTTTCAAATGTTTTAAAATTGATCATCCGAGTCTAATATGATCCAGCATATTGTCCTTACACCAATAATTTCGTTTACTAAAAGACACGCATGCATATATATGTATGTGTTTGTTTGTTTGTTTGTTTGTTTGTTTGTTTGTTTTTATTTGTTTTTTGCATGTTTTTAATTTCTGAAGTACAGTTAATTTAGATATTTTGTCTAAAAGGATGGTAATGATACAACTCCCCTAATATCATAATGAAGAAAAAAGTTCATTAACTATTAACTAAGTTTATTAGCTTCAGTAACAGAGTGAAATTGTTGAAAATAAAACCTTTTTTTCATTTTTCATTAATTTTTAACAAAACTGTTTTGCTGTTTATATTTGAAAAACTGTGTTATCTGGAAAAGTCATATTGTTGGGCCTTATATGACACTTTTTAGTAAAGGTAGTACAATACCAGGTGTGACTTTCCAAAAACTTAATGATTATGAATTAATAATAGAATTAATAATTATTATTATTATTATTTATATATAATAATAATATATATGTATATACACAAATGTATTGTTTTGGGTTGAAATTATTGGTGTAAGGACAATGTGTTAGAACTTTTTACTTAATGATTGCAAGTCATCAAATATGAGCCATTAAATATTAAATTAAATTAATCATTAAAGGGTCATATGATGCTGCTAAAAAGAACATTATTTTGTGTATTTGGTGTAATGAAATGTGTTTATGCGG